GCCGGGCTCAGCCTCCCTCTCCTCCCCCCACCCACGCGGGGCCTCTGTCGCCTCCCCCCACCCACGCGAGATCTCCGCCCCGCAGGCGGCGTCTCCGGCCCTGGGAGCTTCCAGCCGCCCCCCAAGCCCGTCATCGTGGAGAAGAGGCAGGAGCCGGAACAGCAGCGCAGGTGAGGGTGGCCTGGGTCCGAGAACTGGGTGGTTAGAAAATGATCCCGCGGCCCAGGGCACCCACCAGCTTTGGCTCCCGCAGGTTCTTGAGCCCCGAGTTCATCCCTCCGCGGGGGCGGACAAACCCGCTCAAGTTCCAGCTGGAGCGCCAGGACATGCTGCAGCGGCGCAAGGTTCTGCACATCCCCGAGTTCTACGTGGGTATGTGGGGGGTGGCGTGGGGTTGGAGGCCGCCAGCCAGCCAGTGTAGACGGGCCCCCTCACTCCTTTCTCCTCTCCCCCAGGGAGCATTCTGGCCGTCACCTCCTCGGACCCGTACGCGAAGGGGAAAACCAGCCGCTTTCTGGGCATTTGCACCCAGCGGTCGGGCAAGGGCCTCGGGGCCACCTTCGTGCTGCGCAACACCCTCGAGGGTCAAGGTGAGTGTGGCCCCGGCTGCGCCCAGCGGGGCCCGGACCCAGGGAGCCCCGTCGGTGTGCGGTTCTGCGGGCCCTGACGCCCCCTTCTCTTGTCCCCAAGGGGTGGAGATCTGTTTCGACCTGTACAGCCCGCGCATTCAGGAAATCCAGGTGGTCAGACTGGAGAAGAGGCTGGATGACAACCTCATGTACCTCCGCGACGCCCTGCCCGAGTACAGCACTTTCGACCCGGACATGAAGCCCGTGGCCCGGCCCCCCGGCCACGAGGTGCCCGTGAATGAGGTTGGTGGGTTGGGGGGGCGGGGGGACCGGCGGGCCGGCCTCCCCGCCCCCTCATGCTGGACTCTTTTCCCCGCAGCTCAAGGTCAAGATGAAGCCCAAGCCGTGGTCCAAGCGATGGGAGCGTCCCAAGTTCAACATTAAGGGCATCCGCTTCGACCTGTGCCTGACTGAGGACCAGGTGAAGGAAGCGCAGAAGTGGAGCCAGCCTTGGCTCGAGTTTGACATGATGAGGGAGTACGACACCTCCGAGATTGAGGCCAAGATATGGGAGGAGATCGAGGCATCTCGGAGGTCCTGAAGCCGTGCTCCCATCCCCCAGGGGTCACAGGCCAGGTCTGTGCAGCGGGTGCCCACCAGCCCTGATGCTCTTACCTCCTGCCCCAGCCTTCTCTGACGGAGGGTGACCATCTTCCCATCTGGAGCCACGGGCCATCCAGTGCCTGGGAAAGTGAGCACCCAGCCTCACTGTGCATATGACAGCCCCTACTCCCTGATGAACCTGTGGGGCACACACCAGCAGTACAATAAACGTTTATTGAGCACTTAACTGTGTGGCTAGACAATACACCAAGGGGGCGGGTGGTGATGATGGTGGAATCAATCCCAGCAGGAGGGGGCGGAAGGGGGAGGGGTCTGCACACCCAGACCAGCAGGCACTTCAGGTGGCAGTGGCCTTGGGCCAAGGCTGCCCTCTTCCCTGCCCGTCACTGTGGCTCATTCACACATGACCGCAGCAGATCCAGCTGGTTTCTTTCCACGAAGGCTCGGGCCTGCGTCAGAGCCTTCATCTTCACCAACAGAAGGACCATCTCTCCCACTTCGGACCTGGAGGCCAGAAGGAAGACTCAGCAGGACAGACAGCTGGCGAGGGTCCCAGCCCTCAGTGCCTCCCCTTGGGGTCTGCCCGTGGGCACACGAGCACTCACCTGAGCTCACTGTCATGGAGCTGCTGCGCTGCCCGCACCAGCGCGTTCGTGAAGCTGGAGAGCTGGGGAACGGAAGACCCTGCATGCTGCCCACTAAGCCAGCTTTTGGGGAGACTCTCAACCACCTGTCGAGCCACACAAACTGCTCAGTGCTGCTCCCCAACAGGGTCAGGCTGACCTTGTGCATCCTTCCCGGGATAATGTGGCGGGGCTGAGGCCACTGACCCTCCCTCAGCTCCGCCCAGGTACCAACATGCCAAGCATCACCCAGGGAGGCATCACAGATGAGGACACACCCACTGTGCCACCACCTCCTCCTCTCTTGTCAGTGGTCAGCTGCAACCTAGACACGTTGCCCTGGAGTTAAAGACCCTCTGACCCCCACCCCCCACCACTGTCTCCTGAGTGCAGACTGCCTCTCTAGGCCACACTTCTCTTCACTCCCTCCTCCACAAACCCCATCCCCGCCCTGGAACCATCATCCATGATCACTGTGCCTGGATGGGGTGAGCCAGCAGACTCCGTTAGCGGTTCCTCTCACCATCTCAACATCAATGACTTTTCTAGACCATAGTGGCCCTTCCTGGCCCCCACTCTCCTAGCAGGCTTGTCTCTCCATTAGAGCGTCGGCTCCAGCGTGGCTGGCACATTTTTATCCCCAGTACTTGGCACACGGCTTGCTACAGGGCAGGTGTTTCCTACTTCCTCTTCTTGCCCATCCCTTCACCAAGCAATGGCTCACCAACACCACCTCACCCTGCGGTACTTTTCAGCCACTCCTGGCCCGGGGCAGGCATTCGAGAGCCCGATGACAAGGTAGCGGCTCAGCAGCTTGTCCAGTACCAGCTCACGTAAGGCATCCTTGAGGACGAGGCCGTCCCAGAGAAGAATGTTGCCCAAGAGCTGAAAGCAAACCAGAGGAGGCATGGGCATCCCAAGCCCACCTGTGTGCCCTGTCTATTTCTGCAGGGGAAAAGGCACAGTTCTGACCCCCCCGGGTCCCCACCCCTTATCTGGCATGCCAAGGCGCTAAGTCACATTCCACAGAACGAAGGCCTGTCAGAGCTGGGACCTCACAGGTCTGGTGTCTGAGCAGGAGGCCAGAGATCCCAGACCTCTCTTTACAAACCAAGGCCCCTCGGGCCCCACAAACGCCACCTGGGAGAGGAGGCCGATGGCCACTCGGAGAGTCACATTGTGAACAAGGGCACGCTGACATCGAGCGCTCACCTTCACAGCTGACCAGAACTGCTGCTCCTGGAACCTGGCGTGTGGTGAGGCTTTGTCCTCCACAACCCTGGTCACCAAAAGGAAAGGATGAGGAGTCTGCGTGAAAGCCACAGCTCCAGAAATGAGACTCGCTCAGCCTCAGACCCTGGTCCTCTCCTCTTTCTTCCAGCCTCGACCCACCCTGTGGCTCAGGGACTCCCCACCTATCCAAGGTTGGGCAACGCCTGGCACCAGTCAGCCATAGCTTAGGCATAGCATAGCACACACAGCCCCTCCTGTGCCATCCAATCCCATCCAGGGGGTTCGGTATACCCAGGCACTGACAAGGCCTGGCTCCTCACATGGGCACAGAGGTCATGAGACTACGTGGAGGCAAGATTGTGTGCGTGCGTGCGTGCGTGTAAAAACCTCCAAGAACAGAAATGAAATGAGCAAGACTGGACTCCACCACGAAGTCAGTGAATGGTTGCAAGGAAGCCTGTGATCAGAGACAAGTGACTTCCTTCTCTGCATCTTTTTCCTCTTCTAAAAACTGGGGGGGCGGGGGGGGAATGCTTCTTGATCTCTAAGGCCTTTTCTAGCTCCAAAATCTATGAAATGATTGGAATTTCATATGGGCTCATTACAAGCACTGATTAAGCACCTACTGTGTGCCAGGTACTGGACTATGTGTTGGAGACACAAATAAAGGCAAAGGACAATCCCTGCCCTCAAGGAGCTCACAGTCTAATGTGGTTTCCTGTCAAAGGGGGGATTTTAGTTGGGATTTGAAGAAAGCCAGAGAGGTCAGTAGTCAGAGAAGAGGACACAGATTGATGGGGGTCAGTCAGAGGATGGAGGGTCTTGTTCATGGGACAGCCAGGAGGGCAGGGTCACTGGATCAAAGAGGGGCGTGGGGAGTCAAGTGTAAGAAGACTGGAAAGGTCAGAGGGGGAAGGTTATGAAAGGTTTTGAAAACCAAACAGAGCATTTGTCATTTGATCTTGGAGGTGATAGGAAGCCACTGGAGCTCTTTGAATAGGGCATGACATGGTCAGACCTGCACTTTAGGAACATCAGTTTTGATGGACTGATGGAGGATAAACTAGAGGCAGGAGAGACTTGAGGCTGGCAGACCCCCAGCAAGTATTGTAATAGTCCAGGTGTGAGGTGATGAAGATCTGTACCAGAGTGAGGGTAGGGTCAGAGGAGAGAGGGAGGCATATAGGGGAGATGCTGCAGAGGAGAAATCAACAAGGGATGTAGCAGAGGGGAAATCAACCAGAGGTGAAATCGACCAGAGATGCTGCAGAGGGGAAATCAACAGGCTTTGCAACCATATTAGATATGGGCAGGTGAGAGATAGTAAGAAGTCTAGGGAGACTCCTAGGTTGGGAGCCCGGGGGACTGAGAGGATAGTGGTGTCCTTGATAGTAACAGGGAAGGTGTGTAGGGAGGGTTTAGGGGAAAAGATGATGAGTTGTCTTTTGGACATGTTGAGTTTCAGATGTCTAGTGGACATCCACTGTCTGAAATGGCTGAAAGGCAATTGGAGATGTGAGATTGGAAGTTAGCAGAGAGTCTGGGATGGGAAAGGTTTTGAGAATCATCAGGATAGAAAAGGTCATTAAATCCATGGGAGCTGATGAGAGCAACTCGTTAAGCAATCTAGAGGGAGAAGAGAAAAAGGTCCAGGACAGAGCCCTGAGAGACATCTGTGATTAGAGGGCATGATCTGGAGGAGGATCCAGCAAAGGAGACTGAGGAGGAGCTGTCAGAGAGGGAGGAGGATGGGGGTATCACGAGAAAAGAGAGTGATTGAAAGTGTCCAAGGCTGCAGAAAGGCTAAGGGCAGTGAGGATGGAGTAAAGACCACTGGATTTGGTGATTAAAAGATCACTGGGTACTTACAGCAGCTCTTTTTGTGGTGACAGAATTGGAAATTGAGGGGATGCCATCCATTGGGGAATGGCTGAACAAATTGTGGTATATGGTTGTGATGGGATATTACTGTGCTATAAGAAATGATGAGCAGGTTTCAGAAAAACCTGGAAAGACTTATATGGAATGATGCTGAGTGAAGTGAGCAAACCAGAACCTTGTATGCAGTAACAGCAACATTGTGCAATGGCTGACTTTGTTAGACTTAGCTCTTCTCAGCAATACCATGATCCAAGACAATTCCAAAAGACTTATGATTGGAAATGCTGTCCACCTCCAGAGAAAGAACTATGGGGCCTAAATGCAGATTGAAATCCACTGTTTTCACTTTTTTTTTTGTTTTTGTGGCTTCTCCCTTTTGCTTTGTTTCTTCTTTCACAACATGACTAATGTGGAAATATGTTTGCATAATTGCATATGTATAACCTATATCAAATTGCTTGCTGTCTTGGAGAGGAGAGAGGGAAAAGAATTGGAACTCAAAATCTTATAAAAATGAATGTTGAAAACTATCTTTACATGTAATTGGAAAAAATAAAATACTATTTACAAAAAAAAAAAAAAAAAAGGGTGTCTTGGGTCTTACCATTCCAGCATCTCAGATTAAAGAAACCAAAGTGGGCAATGAATATGTTGCTCACTTGGGAAGCTTTTATTTTTTACATTAGATTTATGATCATCTTCACTTTCAAAACCAAAAACAATAAAACACCAATTACAATAAAGTTTAAAAAAAGATCATTGGTGACTTTGGAAAGAGCAGTTTTGGTGAAATGATGAGGTCAGAAGCCAGAATGTAAGAGGTCAAGCAGAGACGGGGGAGGCACCAAGTGTAGATGGCCTTTTCAAGGAGTTTAGCCACAAAGGGTATATAACAACAATTAGTGGAAATGGAAGGGTAAAGTGAGGGTTTTTTCAGGATGGAGGAGACATGAGCACGTCTGTAGCCAGGAGGGAAGCAGCCAGTAGAGAGGGAGAGATTGAAGATAAGTGAGGGGGGTATGACAGAGTGGGCAGACTGTTGGAGGAGGAGGGATGGAAGGGGATCTCTCGAGCAGGAAGACGGGTAGACTTTGGTCAGAAAGAAGGCTACCTCATCATGGGAGAGGGGTGAAGGAGGAGAGATGAGCAGAAGACACCTGACTGACGAGATGAGGAAGAGGGGAGAAGGAGCTCATGGTGAACAGCCTCCATTTTTTCTGTAAAATATGAGTCAGGATGTGAGCTGAGAGGGTGGGGGAGGAGAGCCCCGGAGGTCTGGAAGAGCTTCAGTGGAAAGTGGGAGGGTTGGTAAGGCAGAGGGGGCTTAGGCCACCAAGCTCACCCCAGTACGCGGTCCCAAGTCTGCGTGCCACAAACATCATTCCTCCTGTACCAGTTCTCACCTTTTTGGATAGAGGGGAATAAAGACGTCTTCCTCGACTGCCTTCTTCAATCTTGAAACGACTGAGTCCTTCAGCTCCTGCTGTTTAGATGCTAAGACCTCAGTAACTTAAGAAAGCCAGGGAGAAGGTCCCTGATGGTGGCTTAGGCTGTGCTCCCTGGCCAGGGGGGATGCTGGGCTCCAGACTCGCCCTTACTTCTTTGGAATATTCTGAACCTAGGTTCCTCCCTATGCCCTCCTTCCAAGGCAGAGTGAGGAGGTAGGAGTGTCCCACTGCCGTGCTCTGCGAAACCCCACTGAAACACACCCCCTCCCCTGGCCCCAAGGCCTAGTAGCTCACTGGATACTGGGCCCTTGGGGGGGAATCAGCCTGTGGGGCCTCTGAGACCTCTGAGGTGAAAGCCCCAGAGCCTGCTGTCCCCTTTGACAGGGTGCAGATGGCCAGCCACTTCTCTCTCTTTCCTCTTCTCTCTCCTTCCTGGTAGCTGGTTCCCCCTGTCTGTCTTACTCTCCCCATCACCTCTGGCCTCCTCGGTCCTCCTCTCTACCCCAGGCCCTACAGTCCAGCCAAAATGACACCCTTAGCCTCCGTGCCTTGGCACCAACTAGCCAGCCATTGGCCCTTATCACCTCTACTGCTGAGAAGCCTGGCTGCCATTCCAGGCTCTGCTCAAACACCACCTCCTACAGGAAGCCTGTCCTGATCTTGCCAGTAGCTCAAAGTAACCTTGTACCTATTCTGTGTCTACCTTTCCGTGTCCTCACCGCCTCCTGCCCTGGCTCCCCATGAGCTCTTCTGGGGCAACGAAGGAACTCTAGACCAATCACGGGCCCCGTAAGGGGTCCTCTGGGCGTGCAGAGCCCACAGACCTGAGTGGCGTGACCCCCTCTGCCTTGTGTAGCTGCGCAAAGGCCAAGGATCTCCCTACAGTGCTGCACGAGGCTTCTGGTCTGTGACGTGGACACAGGGTCCCAGAGGAATCTGACAAAACCTGAGAGAGACGTCCTGTCGGTTGGCCTGGCCGAGGCGGAGGTGGTGTCTCCATATCCCCGGCCCAGCCCTGCTCCCACACAGGCCCTCAGGAAGTGCTGGCTGATGCACACATTAACGGCCTGGTCCTTTCTTCCTAGGATGTGATGTTCTATGGCTGAGGAAGCTAGCTCCATAAGGGCCTGGGCAATCTGGCCTCCAAGAGGCAATGGGGGCATCCCAACTCAACACTGGTACACATCGCTGACATAGATAGATAGATCTCCCCCCCATTCCATCACCAGAGGGCCAAACTCCTGGCATGTCAGGGGCCAGTGAAGGGAACCTAACTGACCAAGACGGGGTACACCAGAGTGAGAAGAGGCCAGGAAAAAGGGGGGGAAATTAGAGACGTTCAGGGAAACTGCCCAAGATTAAACAACATGGGGCCAGAAAGGTTGCCCAGCTGGCTCTGTGGCCAGGCAAAGCAAGCAGGAAATCCCAGATGAGCTGTCCCTCAGGCTGCCACAGGAGTGTGAGGCAGAGAGTATCCTAAGTACCCCCTTCAGTGGGCACCCAGCTGGCACAGTGCTAGGCACCTTGGTCCCTGCAAGGGGCCTCAGTGCAGGGGAGCCCAGCAGCACCCAAGTCAAGAAAGGGCCTGCCTGCCCTCGGCTTCAAAGGTGGCCCCTGCCTTGGCTGGGTCCCTTCAGGAAAGTCTCTAATTAAGAGGGCCTGAAATGGAGTATGCCCTCAAGACCTGTCTGAGCCAGGGACCCAAGCAAACCACATAGTTCTGCCTTGCCCTGAGAGGTGCCCACTGGGCAGCTCAGGGCCATCACGGCCAATGCCAGGATGCAAGCAAAATCGGTGGCAGTCAGGGGCACTGGCTAGACCCCCAGAGCCACACCCTGGCCTGGGGGCAGGTAATCCCAATTGTACTTGGTGCTCCCCACACTGAGTCTGTGGACAGTCCACGGCTGAGGCCCAGGAGCCCAAGGCTCACAGGCTGATTGCGACCTACACCCATGGGCCTTGGCTGCCCAGACCATGAGGCGACTGTTTTCTAAGAAAACCACCGAGAAAGAAGGGAATACAGGCCATGCACCAGCACTGACTAGGCACCACCTGTGGATCACCGCGTCTGTGCTGGGGGCAACGGAGCCATCAGTATCAAGGGGAGCCCCCGGGCTGGTGTCTGTGGCAGACACACGGTACCTATGATGTGTGGCAGGACCGTCTTCTCCAGGGCAGCTGGCAGGATCTCTCTATCAGGGCTCTCTTCCTCCCTCTGGGTGGCTGCCCCACTGTTGGCGAATCCCTCCAGGGACTGAAACCAGGGCATGTGCTGCAGACTGACGCAGTCTGGCTGAAGAGGAAACAAAGCAGAAGAAACACCAGACCTCAAGTGGAGTCTGACTGGACACTCCAAGCATCAGATCTACACTCACGTTGCCAAACCGGGCGCAGTGAGCCAAGAGGACCGAGTTCAGATACTCCCTTAGACACTGCTGGGCTGAGTGACCCAGGGCAGGTCACTTCACTTCTCCTGGCCTCAATTTCCTCAAGGGTAAAACGAAACAAAAAGAGTCTTTCCAACTTTCCAAGATTGTTGTAAGGATGAAGTAAGAGCACTGATTATCAGCTCTTCTCAAACTCCAGCCCTGCAGATGGGGCCGGAGCCCTCCCTGGCCCTGTGCAGTGAACACCTAAGATGGTGCCTCTGAATAGTGCCAGGCCCACTGGCTCATTCTGACACCCAATTTACCCTTTCTCTCCTTACTGGGACTGTTTATCTCCATGATCTCAGAATGCCATTCTTCTTGGTCAACCAATCGTTAATAAATATTTATTAAGCACCTACTATGTGTCAGGTGCTGTGCTAAGCACTGGGGATACAAAAAGAGGCAAAAGATAGTCCCTGCCCTCAAGGAGCTCACAATCTAATGGGGGAGACAACATACAAACAAACAGACAGAAAGCAAGCTATATAAATGGGAAATAATGAACAAAGGGAAGGCACTGGAATTCAGAGGGGCTGAGGGAGACTTCCTGTAGAAGGTGGGATTCCTTAAGAGTCTGGCCAATAATGCAGATTCTTAAAGTCACGCCCACCTTGATCAGTGTTCTAATAAACTTTGTCTTTGGCTGGAAAAAAAAAAGGTGGGATTTTAGGTGGATTAGGGTTAGAGACAAGGTTAGAGACATAAGGAAGCCAAGGAGGCCAGCAGCTGAAGCAGAGGGAGACAGTGGGAGAAATGGGAGACATAGAAAATGCACAGAGCCTAGAGATGGAGGGTCTTGTTTGTGGAACAGCCATGAGGCCAGAGTCACTGGATCCAAGAGTATATGGCAGGGGATGCAAGGTGTAAGAAGCTTGAAAAAGTAGGAGGGGCTAGGTTTCAAATGGCCTTGAATGCCAAGCAGAGCATTTTGTGTTTGACCCTGGAGGCAACAGGAGCCATTGTGGTTTACTGAGGAGGGGGTGTGACACGATCAGACCTGTGCTATAGGAAGATCAACTTGGTGTCTAAATAGAGGATGGACTGAAGGGGAGAGAAACTGGACACAGACAGACCTCCCTCCCCAGCAGCTACTGTCATAGTCCAGGTGTGAAGGAATGAGGACCTGCACCAGGGTGGGGACAGAGTCAGAGGAGAGAAGGGGGCATGTGGGAGAGATGGTGCAGAGATAAATCAACCAGAGATGCTGCAGAGGTGAAATCTACAAGAGATGCTGCAGAGGTGAAATTGACCAGAGATGCTGCAGAGGTGAAATTGACCAGAGATGCTGCAGAGGTGAAATTGACCAGGGATGCTGCAGAGGTGAAATCTACAAGAGATGCTGCAGAGGCCTTTGCACCATACTGGATGAGGGGGAAGTGAGGGAGAAAATATAAGGAGCCCAGGATAGCTCCTAGGTTAAGAGCCTGAAGGACTGGGAGGATGGAGACAGCTAGATGGCACATTGGATAGTGTTAGGTCTAGAGTCAAGGAAGACCTGAGCCGGCCTTAGACACCTACTAGCTGGATGACCCTGGGCAAGTCACTTAACCGCTGTCTGCCTCAGTTTCCTTAATTGTAAAATGGGAAGAATAATACCACCTACCTCTCAGGGCTCTTGTGAAGATCAAACAAAATAATAATTGTAAAGCACTTAACACAGGGTCTGTCACATAGTAGGCACTATGTAAAAGCTAGTTATTATTATTATGGTGGTCCTCTCAATAGTAATAGGGAAGTTTCAAAGACAGAAGGGTTTTGGGGGAAAGATCATGAGTTCTGTTTTGAACATGTTGCATATGAGGTATCTACTAGACATCCAGTTGGAGATATCTAAAAGGCCACTGGAGATAAGAGGCTGGAGGTCAGCAGAGAGATGAGGTCAGGAGAGGTGGATTTGAGAATCACCAACACAGAAATGGTCATTAAATCCAAGGGGCTGATGAGATCACCAAGAGAAGAAGTATAGAGAGGGCCCAGGACAGAGCCTGGGAGACACCTACTTTGACCTGGATGGAGATCCAGCAAAGGAAACTGAGGAAAAGCACTCAAATATGGAGAAGGAGAAAAAGGAGAGAGAAGTGTCAAGAAATTCTAGAGAGAAAATAGTCAAGGAGGCCACTGGATGTGGGGATTAAAAGATCATTGTGTTTGGGGGTTTTTTTCTCTTGGAGTGGGGGGAGGTTGGGAAGGGAAAGCACGTAGACCTGAAAACAAAATACAATTAAAAATTTGAAAAAAAGACCATTGGTAACTGTGGAGAGAGAGGTTTCAGCTGAAGGGTGGGAAGGTGAAGGGTCAGAAGCCAGGCAGCAGTTAAGAAGAGAGAGAACAGAAAGGGGGGCCATGGTGCAGACAGCCTTCTCAAGAAGTTTAGCCACAGAAGGCAGGAGAGCCATCACGTGACACCTGGGGAGGATGGATGGACCGAAGGAAGGAGCAGGAGGGAAGCAGACAGTAGAGAGACAGTGGGACAACAGAGCGGGCGATCTGCTGGAGAAGGTGGGATGGCATGGGATCGCCTATGCCGGGAGCAGGGTTTGCCTTGACAAGAGGGGGCACCTCACAGTGTGAGACAGGAGTGAGCTCCATGAAGGCACAGTCTGTCCCCTCTGCCTCTGTATCCTCCATGCACAGGACCACACCAAGTGCTGGACACGTGCCTGCCCGGACCCTTCCCCAGACTCCAGGCTGCCCCACCAAGGCTCCGGCTGTCATCTCTAGGGTCAAGTGCAGCCCCATGCCACCCTTGGTCACAGGCATACAGTCACTGGGCCCTTCTCACTTTTCTCCCCATCTGCACCCCGACCCCCGTTCAGCGTCTCAGCCACAAAAAATCCCACAAGGGGTCCTTCAGCATTGGTTGGCGGCTCTCCAGGTCCTGTGTTCAGCTCTGGCATCCTGCACCTCCCCTCCCAGAGCTCGTGGTGCTAGTCTCTGGGGCCAGGCAGACCAAGGCTGATCACTCCTCCCGTGACACCCCCCTTCAGATCCGTGAAGACGGTTTATGTCCCCCCCAAACCTTCTCTCCTGCCAGCTCCACATCCCTGGTTCCTTGGGCTGATCCCCACTTGACACAGACACCCTCCAGTCAATCCCTGACCTTGCTAAATGGGATATCCACACCTGGATCACGCTGAAGGCCTTTCCCATCCTCAAGACAACACTTCCTCTTTGGAATTTCCACAGTGATCTCAGCTGGCCCAATTCACTTTGCACCTAGGTTTGGACTCATCCCCTAGTGAAATCCTTTTCCCACTTCACTCTTCCTTTGTCTGAGCTGCTGGGGCTCAGGGTCCCAGGTCCAGGGTCTCCAGCCTGCCTCTGGCCCCTCCCGGAGCACCTGGCTGGGAAATGCCTGTTATTTCATTCTGAGCACTGTTCATGCCTCTCTGACCTCAACAACCAGCTGAGGCCAGAGCTGCATGCAGATGTGGGGGAGACAGGGAGCCCCCCAAGAGATGTAGTGCCTTGCCTGCCCAAACCCAGGCTTGAGCTCAGAGCCCCTGGGATACCACCCAATCGTCATGTTCCTCAGGAAGCAAAAATACCTTCAGAGGGTTCCAATCCAACATCTGAATCCTTATGAAGGGACTAAAAAGTTTGGGCAAGCAGAGACTGGCGTAAGCTTCGTGATAGGAATCAGGAAAGCGTTCTCGCCATTGCTGGAATTTCAGTAAAATCTTCTGGACATCAGAAAATTCCTCATTGACATCTTTGAAAACACTGTGGCAGCTTCGTAAAATAGCCCCTGCAGAATCAAAGGGCAAAGCCAGGTGGGCCACGAGGGAGAAGAGCAAGGCAGTCTCCTCAGGTATGACACCACTCCCCCTCGTCCCTACCCCAGCCTGCCCAGCAACTTGGGGAGCACCATCGCAGTGTCCACACAGGTCCATCCATTTCAGAGGCCTCCCATTACCACCACCACCCAAAGCAACAGAGTGCTGTTTATCCCAGAAGCTGGGACCACCCCCACAATCAGCACCAAATGTTCAGAAATAAACAGGATCCCTCCAGGATTTTTCCAATGTGCACCCCCACACCTGAGGGTCTCCTAAGAGCACAAACTAGGAGTGCCCTAAGCAGCCATGGCTCCAAAAAGGCAAAGACCAGAAGAATGGGGTCGGGGAGGGGGCAGAGCCACAAAGGCCAAAGAGCAGGAGGAAGTGCAGAACTCCCTCTCCAATCCTCATATCTCCTCCACAAAGGCCTAGAAAACTCACCAGCCTGAGTCAAGAAGTCCAAGGAAAAGCTTCCAGGGAGATAAGAGGCTCTGAGAGACTCAGGCCAGGGCCTGGCCAGGAGGGCCCTGTGCAGAACCTTCCGGCTCAAGGATAACGCCAGAGGCAGCCTTCTGCGTCGAGCAGCAGCCAAACAGGCACAAGGTCAGAAGCAAACACAGCCAGGCCTGAAGCCAGGGGAGACGAGAGCTCTGTGCCTCCAAGCCAGCAGCAGTCTACTGGCGCTCCAACTGGGACGAGCCCACAGATGTGGTACTCAGGCCCAAACCCTGGTCAGGGCAGCAGAATTTACCCTGGGAGTGCCAAAAACTCACAAGTCCCCAGCCTGAGCTGTCCCTGGGAGCCTGGAGTAACACAACACTCAATACCCAAGGAAGTAGCAGGGGGATCAGCCCAGACCTTCCCTCCAGAAGTATGCAGAGCCTGGGCCTAACACCAAGTCCAAAATCAGGAAGAATTCCACCACAAAGAACTATTATAGTCATAGAGACGGTCAGGACACAAACCCAGAAGAAGAGAAGGACTCCAAAACATCTACAAGTCGAACCTCAAAGGAAAACATAGCTTGGGCACAAATTCAATTAGAATTCCTGGAAGAGATGAAGCAAGAGTCTTACAAAAGAGTTTAAAATGTTTTTACATGGAATGCACGTGCTGGAAGACAAACTTAGAAAATAAATAAGAAGGGCAGAGCCGAGCAGTACAGAGAGGCAATACCCACCCCACCCCAAACTCATCCAAAAAGACCTAGAAAATGCACCAGACTGAACCCTATGGGGAAATCCAAGAAAAAATTCACAATAATTTTTCCAGTTCAGAATGGCCCAGAGAGACAAAAGAGAGGACTGAGGACTGTGCAGATAAGGCCTGGTGCAGAGAACAGGACAGAAGACAGGAGCCGGAGCAAGCAGGGGCCCCAGAACCATGCCAGGGTACTACCTGCAGACAGGGGTGAATTGGCCTCTTTTGTCCACGACCAGTTCCGGGTCACAGGTGGACTGAAAAGAGGGCCCACAAAGCACCACGCCCCCTACAGCGGTCTCCTACCCTGGGCAGTAAGAGAAGCCACGTTCGGAATACCAGCAGCAATAGTGTGGCTCATTGCCTCAGGCTCAGAGCAAGGTCTCGGTTTTAACCTCTAACCCAGTCTGATGCGTGCAGAAGAATAACCAGGGCAGGAACCCCAGAACAAGGTGGAGCTGACAATTCTGCCCCTCTGGGCAGCACAGCCTCCCAGCTTGCCCACAGGGGCTGAGCCCAGCCTCATCTACTCCTATTCAGACCCAAAACCTGGTCAGGAACTTGCAGAGTTCAGAGCAAGGGGGCCGCAGTCAGACTTTGCCCTCTGGGAGTATTTTATGCTCACAAGTCCCCAGCCATACTAGAATACTACAACACTCAACACCCCAGGAAAGGAGCAACAGAACCAGCGCAGAGCCCAGGCCTAATATCAAATCCTACTTCAGGAAGTAGGCTGGGAGAACAGGCAAACAAAAAAGAATCCCACCATAATGAGCTATGATGGTGGCCGGGATGTTTAGGACACAAATGCAAAAGAGAATGACTTCAAAACATCTATAAGCAAAGCCTCAGAGAAGAAGATGTCTTGGGCGCAGACTCAACTAGAATTCCTGGAACAGATTAAAAAAAAAGTTTAAAATGTTTTTTGACAATAAAATGAAAACACTAGAGGGAAAAAACTGAAAAGAAATGAGAGCTGTGGAAATGAGAAAGAACTGGAAAGGTATTAACATCATGGCACAAGAGGAACAAAACCTGTCCAAGCAACAAACTCTCTGAAAATTGGAATGAACCAAACAGAAGTCAATGGCTCCAAGAGGCAACAGGAAATATTAAAATAAAGTCAAAATACTAAACAGAAAATTGGAAAAAATGCAAAAACAATTGATCTGGAAAACAGATCAAAGAGAAAAAAATTTAGGAATCACTAGACTATCTGAATGACATGACCAAAACAAACAAACAAACAAACAAAAAGAGCCTGGACATCCTATTTTGAGGAATCTTTTTTTTTTTTTGTGAGGCAATTGGGGTTAAGTGACTTGCCCAAGGTCACACAGCTAGTAAGTGTCAAGTGTTTGGTCTGAGGCCGGATTTGAACTCAGGTCCTCCTGACTTCAGGGTCGGTGCTCTATCCACTGTACCACCTAGCTGCCCCTTGAGGAATCGTAAAAGAAAATTGTCCAGAGCTCTTAGAACCAGATGGCAGAGAGGAAAGAAAAAGAGCCCACCAGTCACCTCCTGAAAGAAACTCCAAAGTAAAAACTCCCAGGAAGATGACAGATGAAACTAGAGCTTCCAGATCAAAGAATAAATCCTGCAAGCAGCCAAAAGGAAAAAAATTCCAGTACCAAGGAGCCACAGCAAGGATCCTATATGACTTAGCAGCCACCATCGTAAAGAAAAGGAAAGCTTGGAATATGCTCTTCCAAAAGGCAAAAGATATGGGCCTATAAGCCAAGAATAACCAACCCAGTGAAACTGATTATAATGCTACCGAGGGATGGGGGTGGGGGGTGGAGGAAATGGACCTTTAATGAAATAGAAGATTTCTGTGTATTCCTGAGAGAAAAGATCACAGCTGCAGAGAATCTTTGAAGTTCAAATAGAGGAGTGAAGAGAAACATAAAAAGGTAAAAAAGAACAGGCAATCATAAGAAACTAAATACAGATAATCAATCAATGAATCAACATTTAAATGCCCTTTATATGCCAGGCACTGTGCTCTGTGCTAAGGATACAAAAAGAAGCAAAAAACAGTCCCTGTCTTCAAGCAGCTTACAATCTAATGGGGGAGATAACAAGCAAACAAAAACATACAGACAAGCCACTGACAGGATAAGTAGGACAAAATTAACAGAAAGAAGAGAGGTTGGGGAAGCCTTCCTGCAGAAGGTGGGACATTAGCTGGGGCTTAAGGAAATCCAGGGAGGTCAGCAGTTGGAATGAAGGAGGGAGAGCGCTCTGGGCATGGGGGACAGCCAGAGAAAAGATCTCGAAGCAGAGGAAAATGGAGGCTCTTGTCCACAGGACACTCAGGAGGCCAGTGTCACCAGATCAAAGAGTACCTGTCCGGCAGTCAGGTAAGAAGACTGGGAAGGGAGGAGGAGAATGCCAAACAGAGCATTTCATATTTGACTCTGGAAGCCAAAAGCAGCCACTGGAGTTTACTGAGTTGGGGGTGGGGTGTGTGTGACATGATCAGACTGAGATTTTGGGTGGACTGGAGCAGGGAGAGACTAGAGGCAGGCTATTAGTCCAGATGTGAGGGGATGAAGGCCTGCACCAGCGTGGGGCCAGCATCATCACAGGAGAGAAGGGGGATGGAGGAGTACAGAGAGATGCTAGAGGTGCAATCGACGGGCCGTGGCACCACATTGGATATGGGGGCATGGGTCTGGAAGAGAGGCAGGAAGCCAGGGTAATTCTTACTCACACACTAACACAGACCGGCAAGACACATATCCGCTCAGAACCCTATCCCCATGGGGTTCACAGACAGTCCAATGAGACAAAAGGCCTAGGCGTGGCTCTAACGTGTCTTAATTACAGCAAAAGAAGAATGAGAAAGGAGGGGAAGAGGGGGTGGGGGGAGGGAGAGGAAAGTCAAGGAAAATCATCTCATCTACTTGAGGTGCAGAAGTAGCACCACACAAAACAGCAGGAGGTGGGGGAGGGGCTCATACTTGAACCTCACCTTCATCTGAACTGATCAAAGGCAAGAACACACACACACACACACACGTAATACATGCATGCACATACATAATATACCACATACACCCCACACACATACACATACCACACATACATACCACACATACCTCCACGCATGTATATATACACCACACACATATATACACAATTCACACATAGACCCCATATATCTTTACCTATACACACACCACACATACATACATATATACCAAACTACATACGCACATGTATACACAACACATATACCACGTCTCCCCATATACACACATGTACACGCATTTACAATATGCACACACACCCCACATACACAAATACCACATACCTCTACCCCCCCCACACAATACATGCATGCACATACACAATATACCACATACACCCCCACATACATACCACACACACATAAACCTCCACGCGTGTACATATACACCACACACACATATATACACAATTCACACACAGACTCCATATATCTTCACCTATACACCACACACACACAACATACGCACACACACTATACATGCACGGACATACACAATATACCACACCCATACACATACCACACACATACCACACATGCATATACATATACACAGTGCATATGCACATGTATACACAACACATATACCACATACCTCCCCAAATACACACATATACACATTTACCATATGCACACACACCCCACATTCACATATATCACATACTCTTACCACACACACACACACACACACACACACATACATACACACACTCCCTTTTATCTACCCAGAACACACATATGTCACACACACCACATACCCACACTACACAAATGTACATATATATATACATTCACACACCCTGCACACACATACCACATACCCATACCACACACATACATATAAACATTCATACACACATACACACCCCACACATGTATACACACTCACACATACCACATAAACCATACACATCACATACATACACCACATTCCCATACCACACATATACAAATATATACACACTTGCGTATTTACACACACTTGTCCACACACATACATATACACCCCACGTACACATACATCACACACACACTACACACCCACACACCACATACCCACACCACGTAAATGCATATATACATACATTCACACACTGCCCCCATATATACATACATACATTCACACACCCGCACACACATACCACATACCCATACCCCACATACATATACACATTCATACACACATACCCCACACATGTACACACTCACACATACCACATACACATAAACCATATACATCACATACATACACCACATTCCCACACCACATGTACACAAATATATATACATTTGCCTATTTACACACACTTGTACACATACATACATATACACCCCACATACACATACACCACACCCACCCACACACACACACACACAGAGAATTGGGTGCAGAAATACATTTGACTCAGCAGGGGGAAGTGGAAGGAAAGGAGAGAAGGGGAAACAGGTAAAGGGAGGAATGTGTCTTAAGCCAGGAAAGTCTAGTCCAGAACACGCAGCAGCATCTCTCTGGGCAGTGGGTGGCCAGGCTCTCCATTCACACTCACTCTGAAGAAAGAAGGACAGGGAGGGTTCCAGAGAGTGTCGGGAGAATCAGGGGACAGTAACCTGGTGATCGGAGGAATGGCCAGCTGGGATTCCTGAGGACTCGAGGGGAAATGTGGGCAGCTTACCACCAGCCGGCCAGCGAGAGAGGACACGAGGGGACACAAGGGACACGTGTGTTGGACGTGGCTAATAGGCAAAATTTTGCTGCTTGACTAGATGTGTTTGCAAGAGAGGTTCTGTTTCTCTTTTTCTCAATTGGGAGGGGACAGAGAGGCAGAGAAGGCAGACTTTTGCTGACTGACTGAAAAAATAAAATTGAATTAGCAATGTTTAAAAGAAAAACAAGCCGAACTACTGGAGGGGCAGGCAGGCAAGGAGCCGGGTGGAAGAGTTTCGTGAAAGCGCGTGACACCCTGGATAGTGAGCACTGACCTCGCCTTTCCCGGAAGTCGGCCCCCTCTGATGGAGACACGCTGTTGCTGTCATCGTCGCCATCACTGTACGTGCCTTCCTCATGCTGGGACATCCCCGAACTCTCCCTGGCTTGTCTTCTTCGCACCCTGTATTTTATAACAACAAATACCACCCTTTTCTCAATAAGGGACAAAGAGCCGTCTCAGAGTTACGGAACACCTCTCTGTCCACATACCTCGGACCACCGCCACTCACCGCACAGGATGCCCTCCCCCAGCCCTCCTGCCCTGCCTCTCAGGAGTTCCCCCGTGACTTCAGAACAAAGTCACAATGCTAAGAACGCCTGAGAAGATGCTGTCGGAGCAATGCCAGGGCTGTGAGCCTATGCCCGTGGCAGCAGGCGGGCTCGGGCTCAGGCTCCGCAAAGCTACCTGCAGGCAGCAGTCTTGTCTGGGAGTTTCTGGGCGCCAACATCCTCTGCCAAGCCGCTGGGCTCTGGGGCGTCATCCATCTTTCTGGCTAACAAATGACAAAGAGCACAACGCTACAATAGGAGACAAAGGCTCCGCTGGCCAGCCCCGCCCACCCCGCCGTTGGCCTGTGACGCTCCTCCTGGCTCTGCTCCCTGCAGACCCACGCTGACCTTCTGGAGCCAGAGGAGCCCAGAACAGTCTCCGTCTGCCTCCCTCCACCATCAGAGTGCTCTGAGCTCAGGACACGAGGACCTTCCTCACCCCAAGCCTCCCAAGGCCCCACCCTGCCCCTTCTCAGGCCTGGGTCCCTATTCCCATGCCTCTTACACAGTTGGAGGGATGTGGATCCCCAACTGGTCTCGGGCACAAAGTTTGCTGTAAGCTGGAAAGGGGCCCCTTCAGGGAAACTCAGAAAGTCAGAAAAGCCCCTGCTTCTGTCCCTGCCCTCAGTCTGACAAGGGGATGCTGCCTAGTGGACACCCCAGAGGCATCCTGAACAGAACTCACGGCCTTCCCACCAACCACCGCCTCCCAGGAGTCAGTCTGGGCTCCCCCACCCAAGATGGCACCAAGGCCTGAGCTTTCACCTCAGCGGCACCTCTTGGAGATGCCCCTCCTCACGCCCGGACTGCGGCAGTCACTGCTGGAGAGGTCTGTCTGCCAAGAGTCTCCCCCTACTCTGGTCCATCCTCCATTCAGCCCCCAAAGGGATTTTCCTAAAGTACAGATCTACCCATGTCACCCCCACCCCCCTGCCCCATACACATCCTAAACTCCATGGGTCCCCTATGGCCCTCAGGATCAAACACAGACTTGTCTGTCTGGCCCTCCAGGCTCTTCACAACTAGGCCCTAAACCCACCTTATCCTACACGATTCCCCTGCATACCTTCCCAACTGGCCTCCTGTTCTCCCCTCTGGTTTCGTCAGGACTCATGTGGTCACTGCTGACCCCCCTCCCCACTCCTCCACCCCCAGCCGCCAGGGCCTTCTCCTGCAAAAATTACCTCGTCTCTACTTTGAATCTGCTTCTATCTGGTCCCTGGCCCTTCACTGAGACTCTGTACGACTGTCTACGTGATCAGTGAGTGACTCACCGTGCAGGGCCCCGGCAGTGGGGAGGACAAGAGCCCTGCCCGTACGCAGCGGACCTTTGACAGCCAACGAGCCGAGGTGACTGGCCTGCCAAGCATCCACTGAATGCTAAGCCCCACGACCCGACCCTCCCAAACATGCTGGGAGGAGAATTTCTAGCCCTCATCGTACAACCGAGTTTAGAGCCTCAGCCACGTCCAACTTAAAGCTCAGTCTCCGTTGTTTTAACGTGCGTAAGCTTTGTTTTTCACCCACACTAGAAGCATCCGGCGCGGAGCCGGGAGGTCCTCTCTGGGACACACGCGGTCCAACTCTGGGCGGCTCCAGAAGTTTCCACACCAGGAACACCTTGTCCGCCTCACCTGCCAGTCGCTGCAAGTGCGCGGCTTCCTCCTGTAACTCTGCCTGCCGCCGCTTCAGGGAGAAGGCGGCGTGTTCTTGCAGGAGGGAATGCATGGCTGACTCTAACTGCTGAATGACCATGATCTGAAATGTCAGACAACAATCAATCAGAAGAAAGAGGCAAACGGCAGCGGGAATTTGGGAAATGTACAAAGAGCGGCATTCCTTGACTGACAACAAGAACCAGGGCCCACAGGAAGACCTGGCTGCCAACAAGTAACCAAACATAACCGAACCCAGGTGGGAGGAGCCGGGGAGATGTGCAGGTCAGGTGCTGGCCCCCAGCCACGCTGCAGGCATCACCAGCCGTGGCCTCCTCGTGTGAGCCAGGCCGCAGTTTAGGGGGCCCTTATTTCTAATGCGCTTTATCACGGACAGTCAGCGTGCATAAACCCCCAGAGGGGGCTCCTCTGCCAGGCTGGTGCACGTGTTCGGGGCTGGCAGCGCTCTCGGAAGCCTGCTTTCTAGGTTCCTCGTCGTCTGCGTGGTGCCAGAAGAGTTTCCCAAGGACATTCTCGGGAGAACTCTGAGTCCCTGACCCAGAGAGACTAACCACCCTGCGTGACGCGCCGCCGCACACAGTCACTGCCTCCGTGCCATCCCTGGTGCAGCCAGCACCAGCGTCCCTAGCACAGAATGGGGTTTTTCCCCTTGTCTGCATCATGGATACAGTCAGTTGAGTGAGGCCTGCGAACACCTGCTTAGAACCACATTTTTAAATGCATAAAATAGAATACATGGGATTACAAAAGAAAGCCAATTATACTGAAATATGGTGATCAAAGTATTTAAAACATAAGTTTATGGAGCCCTGGTCAAGAACCCCTACCCCTCCCTGGTGAATAGCAAAGAGCCGCCCCATCTGAGACCCCTGAAAGCCTATCCCACACTCAGAACAGAGCTTAGCGACATGAAGCCATGCAACAGAGGAGCACAGGGCTGAGTCAAGGCTTCATATCAGGGCTTTAAAATCCCCTCCGAGGCCTCTTCTGCAGCATGGGGGGGGTCTTGGGGGGCCCTTCCAACCCTATGATCATCCAACCTCAAAGCCTCAGTTTCCCTCACCTGTAAAATGGAGATAATTTGCCGCAAGGCTCACAAATGGTACCCGGTCCCCACACTAACAGGGCTGAGATTCCAGCACACAGGTGGCAGCCCCTCCCTCACCTGCCAGAGCTGATGGTCAATGGAAGGACTCCAGCAGCATTCTCACAGACTGGCTGACCGTAGGGGCCAACAGAGATCTGGGAGAGGCCTCACAAAGACACCTCCAACCACTTCCCCCGCCAGGGCCACGGGCCCAGGCAGCATGCCCCGTACCTTCTCACTGAGGCAGTCAACAAGGGCGGCCAGGTAGGCCTTCAGGCCCCTGTAAAAGGCATACGTGGGAGCAGGGTCAGGCGCTTTCTCGAGGTCCGCGATGGCGTTCTTGGCACTGTCCCGGTCCCGCAAGAATCTCTCATACTCCCTCTGGTGGGAACGGTGCACGCCCTCCAAGGATGCCAACCTAAACCCAGGGACCAGAGGCCAGTAACTTAAATGCTCCTTCCCCATTGTCGGCAGATGACCCACCTAAGCATGGTGTGGGGACAGAGGGGTCTAAGGGTTCCCCACAGCATCTTGTCCTGTTGGGGACACAGACACGCGGCCTGCCATAGAGCTATCGCTGTCTCACTCTCATGGTCTAGATCCCTTCACGCCCCCCCCTTAATGACCCCTCCACCTCTGATCCCTTCATGCCCCCCCCTTAGTGACCCCCTCCCCTGGCTCTGATCCCTTCAAACCTCCCTTAGTGACCCCCCCAGCTCTGATCCCTTCAAGCCTCCCTTAGTGACCCCCCAGCTCTGATCCTTGCATGCCCTGCCTTGGTGACCCCCCCGGCTCTGATCCCTTCAAACC